TGTGCAGCGAGGCAGCCCGACTCCTACGGCGCCCACGCTCCCGCGCACGTCGCCTTCGCCCACGTAGCCGCACATGGCGTGATCTCTGATTCTGTTGTAACAGTAGGCCACTACTCCTCGTGAGCATCAGTGTATATAAACAATTGTAACCTGCGATGATGAATATACAGAGAGTTCATCTATCTTACTTGCAACAATGGGCCGGCCCAGCGCGCAGGAGGTCCACATGCCTTAAGCCAGTTTTTTTTTGCTGTCATGCCTTATAAGCCAGTTAAGCACTTGTTTTTTCATATTTTATTTTTTCTTTTACTTTAGAATTTGTTTATTTTTATATTACGAAATATTCTAAACATATATTATAAAAATTAGTTTACAATTTTGAATAAATGTTAGTCATACATTTGAAAAATAGTAAACGTGTATAAAAATGTTTCTGATGTATACGAAAAGTACAACGTCTATGAAAAAAAGTAGACATCAAAACATATATATGAAAAATGTTAAACGTGTATAAAAAATGTTTATTATGCATACAAAAAATATACATGGTGTATGGAAAAATAGACATCAAAATAAATATTAAAAAAGAGATAACCATGCATTTAAAAAATGTTGAGCATCTATAAAAAATGTTCTGATGTATCACAATTATAATATGTACGAAAAAAAGTTGACATCAAAATATATGTTTGAAAACATGTCAACCACGTACTTAAAAAATGTTAAACATGTATAAGTATAAGAAAAAATATTTCGTATGTATATATCAGTATAAGAAAAATATTTCTTATGTCTACAAAAAATGTACAATATGTATTAAAAAGTAGACATCAACACATATATCCAAAAAAATGTTAATCATGTATTTAAAAATCTCAAATATTGAAAGGGTCGATACAATCGACTAGAGAGGGTTGTATAGGAGACTACAAATTTTAAGTTTAATTACCAATTTTAATGATATATGCGGATAAAGTATGTTCCCTATAAATGCAACTAGGCGAACATAACCTATATGATAAGCAAGTTTAAGGCAAGGTATCCTAGGCAACAATCTAGTTAGCAAGCCAATAAGCATACAAAACAAAGTAAAGTGTGGGCAAGAATTAACCACAAGTGTGTCGATGACGCAAATTTATCCCGAAGTTCACACTTCGTTGAGGAAGTGCTAATCTCCGTTGGAGCGGTGCCAGAACCAAAACTTCTGAAGTGCCACACAAGGCCCACCTTATTCTCCTCAAGTCATCCCCAACGGATGAGCCTCCAATCACTCAGGGTTGGTGTTGAAGGCGACCATCGCACTTTTACATACGTCTCCGAAGCA